AAAAAAAACAAAAATATAAATATATAAATAAATAACGATATTATAAAGTATAATAGACACCGCGCGACAACTTCAGCGCGATAAAGTTATTGCGACACTCGCTATCGGCAACGGCGACAAATTAATTGACGTTTTTTTACCCCCTCCGTGAGTCGCATGGGTCTGTCATACCCATGCGACTCGTAAAGCATTTTTTTTCTAAAAAATGAGCGTTGCTATGCAAAAAATTTTAACAGCATGTTAATCTGGTTAAAAAGTTTGAGGAATATTAATTTTTTCAAATTTTTCAAAAAATATTTAATATTAAAAAATTTTGACTAAAAATCGCGTCGGGTCTGTCAGACCCATGCGACTCACAGAAGGTTAAGAAGAAAAAATTATATAAAATAGGCACTGTAGAGATGATCACTCATATTAATTAATAGAAGCAACCAATATTAAAATACAATAATAATGAATTTACTAATAATTTATCAGTTATAAAATTTTAATGTATATTAAAATAAAAAGGCATTTGCTCTTAAGTTAAATTCAAGCAATTTATCTTTTGTATTTGTAGGGAAGATTATTCTGACATAGATCTTGATGGTCAAGGTGGTCGTACATTTTTACGTGTTCTTCTTCATTTAACTATGCATGATTATCCAGCTTTAGTATCTGGAGCTCTTCAGTTACTGTTTAGACATTTTAGCCAAAGACAAGAAGTACTTCAAGCATTCAAACAAGTAAAGTATAAGATTTTATTTAGAATTTTTATAGACAATATACTTAATGTGAAATTAAAATAAGTTATAAATATATTTTATTTTAGTGTGTGTCATTCATCCAGTTTTAAGCATTAGACTTTTGAAATTGAACATAAATATAACTTCTTAATTATCTTAAAGCAACTCAAGTGTATTATTTTGAAAAATCTAAAGATCATTACTAAAATACAAAATTAAATTACATAGGGTCAATTATTTGCATTTGATGCAAACAATTGACCCTGTGAATAAATAATAAAATAGCTTAAATTGAAATATCAAATTAAGTTTTGAAATTTCCATAATGTATTTTTATTAATAATAATTATGAATATGTATATCAAGCATACTATGAGTAAAGTTTTGTGTCAAGATAAAACTTACAATAGATCTTGGAGATCAGTTTCTACTCTTCCAGAATGTACTAGTATCAGGTTGTTCCTGAGCATGTGCCAATTTATATGACATAGCTGACAAAGAAAGACTCTGTAGAACATCTAAAACAGAACTGTTTTTTAATGAAATCAAAAGTATGGCCACAGAGGTGATTTTTATAGCTAAGTTTCAAATGCAATAGGCATTTTCTTACAAACTTTATAAAGAGTTTAGTGGATTATAGTTTAGTATTGGTGACAAAATGTAGCTGTCCTAATGCCTGTGCATACACCAGAGAACATTGATGCTGTCAGATTGGCACTAGAAAGGAATCTTGGTAAATCAACAAAGAAGGTTGCAGCAGAATTAGGGCTATCCAGATGATTGGTGCAATAAATATTGAAAAGTGACATAAATTCATGTCAATACAAAATTATTGAGTTGTCTAAACTTAAAGTTGAAACATTTACTGAATAGGTTCGGAATAATGAAATTATATTAAACAATGTTTAGTTTTCTGATGAGGCACATTTTCACTTGGATAATGTTATAAAATCAAACAGTTTGTTTATTAATGATTAGAGAATTTAGATATGATTCATGAAAAAGTGAATCAGATAGAATTATAGTGTGGGTTGCCATATCAAGTCATGACTGCTGGGGACAATATTTTTGAATAAACAGTGAATAGTCAAGGCTGTTTAAGCATGTTGCACAATAATTATCTTTTTGTCTTTTTCTGTTACTTTATCATTGTATCCTTTACACTCTTGTTATTTTTATTGGTTCTATCTCAGTTGCTTATGGTTTGGGGGAAGTAATTTTCCCCAAACCAAAAGTTGCTTATGGTTTGGGGGAAGTAATTTTCCCCAAACCATAAGCAACTGAGCATTATCTTGAAGTATTATCTTTATTTTGCAACTGAGCATTATCTTGAAGCATTATCTTAATTATTTTGAAGCATTATCTTTTCTAAATTAGATAAATGAAATGAAAATTTTGTGCTTCAGATTTTTGCTATAGGTTTGTTTTTACAATCCCAATGATTCTTATAGGATGAAATTAGTCTACACACAGTGAATGTTGTTTTGGATTTTCTGCATAACTGCATAACACTTTTGACTTGTGTATCATATGAAACCTGATTGGTTTTTATGTGGACAGAACTGACCCTTGAATAATCTTGGTATAAACTCATGTGACTACTTTCTTTGAAGGATTCATTAAGGAAAAGGTTTTTCTGAAAAATCCACAATCATAGTGCTAGTTATTCAAGTCTGTACCAAGATAACTGAGAATATGTGCAATGTGCAATAAAGTAATCAACATCATTACTGTTTTGTGTTGAAGAAGTTGCTGTATATAATGGTAGTCATATTGAACATTTAATTCATGGAAGATAATTTTCCATGCAATGGTTTTATATGTTTATTCCACTATTGTAATTTAAATAAGGACTGTGCATGAAATGGTTAGTTTTTTTAATAATAAAACTAATGATGATTATTTCATGTATCACCATGTATATAGAGAGGAAGTAATTTTTGTAAGTTATATTTTAAGACAGAAGTTCAACTAGAAATGTATAGATACATAACCAAATGATCACTTTAAATAATCAGGTTATAAATCACTATTTTAATGATTAGTACTAAGTAATTTGCTACTAGAGGTAGTATTAATCATTAGAATAGCAGATTTATAGCTCGATTATTTATTGGGCTTCTGGATGTTTGGTATACTTAGAAATGTATAATAATATCAATTAAAATGTTGACTGATGGAATTGATGGTACAGAAAATGAACAAGAGAGAAATGAAGACAAGGCATATATATGTCTTTGGTGGTTTGATGCTAAAATAACATTACTTGGTATCACAACTGCCATACAGTACTAATCTTACCTGTTGTGACTTATTTTCTGTTTTCTGCTATGAAGGACTTATGGGATTACTAATTTGAAAATTCTACAGCTGTTCCTAAATAAATTAAAGGAATTTTAAGAAGACATTACAAAGAATGGTCTATGATTGAAAACTGGCAGAAATATTTGAATAAATATATTCAAATGGGACACTACATCAAAAAAAGACTATACAGTAATACTCCAAACTTACGCGATAGGTGGGACTGAGCGGTAACTGTGTAAGTCAAATTCGCATAAGTCGGGGTATAATTTCGCATATAAATACATACAAATAATTTTTAATTGGGACCAGAGACTAAAGAAAACAATAGTTTAGAAAAAAATGTTTAATAAAATCATAGATAATACATATGTATAACAAATTAGGCCTATATTATTTTACAATTTTTCAAATTTACTTGATTATTACGCCATAATTTTAACATTGTTTCCATCTCAGCGATAATACTGTGACGTTTACGAATGATGCTTGAATTTAAAGATTGAGCATTTTTCACAGCTTCAAGAATTTTTTCTTTGCCTTTTATAATTTGTTCTGACCGACAATTCCGGTAGATCAAACTTCTTTGCCAATTCACAAATTTTCATTTTTGTATTGAAGTCTTTAATAATGGGTACGTTCGTAAAGTCAAATGAGTTAAATGCATTAGTAACGAATCGTTCAAAAAGTCTAACGAAATAGGAATAACGATGATGTCATTCTCGTTTAACTCGTTTGACTTTACTAACATACCTAATGTTAACTTTACATTCCAAAGTAAAGTTTTTCTTTTCTTGTTTGATGCAGAAGAATTAGTTTTACTTCGTTTGGATGACGTAGTAGAGTCTCTCGAGTCTCCGTAGATATAACAAACAGAAATAAATAGCACAAAATAAATTGTAGCTATGTGTGGATTCCGCACGACACATCCGAACATGTAAGCTGAACAATAGTGTGGGGGGGAGTGAGTAATCAAGAGTTGCATGGCCCTCAAACAAAAGACGAATCAACGAGATTTGAAAATCGCGTAACTCCGGGTTCGCGTAAGTTGGGGTAGCGTAAGTCGAGGTATTACTGTATATGTTTGTTGATTCAGAGTCCTAGATAGTTAGGGGAGAAAAAACAGTTTCATTCTTTATGATCCTTTCACATAGATTAATAAAATGTGTGTTTTTAATATCATAATTTAATTAATTTTTTTCATTAATATATTGTTTAAATTAAGAATATTATTTTTAAATAAATAAATTTTATATTTTAATACAGGTACAATTATTGGTTTCAGCCAGTGATGTTGAAAATTATAAACAAATAAAAAGTGATTTAGATGAATTACGTTTATTAGTGGAAAAATCAGAGTTATGGGTATTTAAGTCAAAATCAGAGGAGAGTGGAAAAAAGAAAAAGAAAAAAGCAGATGATGAAGGTGATGGAGAACTGGATGATAAAAAAGCAATTAAAGAAAAGAAACCAAAAAAGAAAAGTAGCCTGGTAATCTTTCATTAATATTTCATGANAATAACATTATCTACACATTATATTAAATTTATTTTTAATTTAAATTTTTAAAATATATTTCAATATCTCATTGGATATTTTTTTTGGATAATCAGTACAGTAGAACCTGGTTAAATTGAATTGGGGGAAAATTTTGGACTTTGTTTAAAAATTTTCAGTTATGAAGGTTTGGCTAAAAATCAAGATTTTGTTCATTGGTTTATCGGTGACCCTTAATAAACTATTCATACAATATTTCTGATCTTATTACAAAGAATCATTGCATCAATGTAAACTTCTAAGTGTTGCCCAGAAACTTGAAAATGCTTAACCAAATGGTTAAATAAGTTGCTGAGAAATGCTTTCCTGAATAGTTGATCTATTCACTCCTAAGTGTTCAGTGAGGAATTTTTCAAATTACAATATTTTATGCTTAGAATTGATCTGTGTTTTATTTTTTATCACAAAAATACCACTTTTTATGATTGTTATATTTTTAAAATTTTGCTGCAAAGATTAAAATTTTTACATAGAATCAGACTATAATCATTTTTTAAAAATTAATTTATCAAGAAGCCATTTATTTATCACATTAATTAGTCAAAGAAATCTATCAGCAATAAAATAAAACAAAAAAGTTAAAAAAAAAAACATATTTGAATAGCATTTACAGTATCTAATCATACATGCTGTCTAAAGCCACCACTCCCTTGCCATCACATGATACTGTAAAGTACTATATTATTTTTCCGACTTTCTACAATGATTATTGACACGACTGTGTGCCGGAAATAGCCGTTACCTAACGGGTACTTTACGCAGATTTGCGTTAGTGTGCCAGGCCTGGAATTTAAGTGTGCACCGAATTAAATAATGACAAAGTTAGTCAAAAACAATCCAATATTTAATAAAAATTCTATAATAACTATATACAAAATTTAGTAAAAATCAAATAACAATTTATTCAATGAAAATCAATAAGAATCAACCCAACAAAACTCAAATCAATCTATTTTCTAACTTAATTCTATTCCCCTTTGGAATTCGACAAAAATCAAAGACTTAATTTATGTACAATAATTCTTATAAATTAAAGGTCCTAATCGTCACCTCAATATACTAGGAACCTTTTTCCTCAACTCTCAAGACTTTCTCTAATCTTTGATCCACAAATCGAATAACTTCAAAATCGCCTTGGAACTATTTTATCCTATCGGACACCTCTCTCTCGTTTGCTGCTACGAAGCTCATCACGCTCATTGCTAACAGAAGCTCACCTCGTCCATCTTCACTTGAGGTTCAGTCTTTATACTGTGAGGTGACGTCACAATTCTGAGTGCAATCACTCCCCTCATTTACATAATTATTTGCTAACAATAACTTTTTCTATTTGTCTGGCAGCCTATTTTCCGACAATACTCACTAACCTTTTACATTATTTTTTTGACAATTTTCGGGATGGTTTTTTTTTTCTTTAAGGTTTAGCAAGGTCCTAAGTTGTGCTTGTGGGGTCTCCCCCCTTTTCTCGGTGCAGAAGTACTTTTTTCCGTTTGGGAGCGCGAGTCTTTCCTACGGTGCTTTTCTCTCGTTGGTGAATTGGTTTCTTTTCTATTTTTAAGTTTCTAAGGTGAATGGTGAGGAAACCTTCGTCCTAACAAAACATAAGCCCCAAACAAAAATAGAATAAAAAACAAAAAATAAAAGTAAATAAAAATAATGCTCGGACTTGGTTCCTTACAACACAATGTTTATTTTTAGTTGTGCATGATTCCCCCACTTTATAGAAAGTTTCTGATTAGTTTATTTGATAGATGGACATTAATTATTAACAGAAAATTAAGATTATATATTGGAATCCTGTTCAATCAAATTAAATAGTTTAACAAATTTGATTCAACATGCAGATCCGTATGCAAGATGACCAGGTAAAGAAAATGACTTTGAGTAAATGCTACTTTGAGTTATCCCAATTTGAGTTAACCAGGTTTTACTGTAATACTGTATATGTATAATATATGTAAACATTGCAAAATTAGTGAATTGCATAACTATTAGTAATACATAATAAATTTTAGTTTCTAGTTATATTTTTGTTCTCATAGTTATTTGTTTTTATAGTTTGTTATTTGTTTAGTTATTTTATAGTTGTTTTTATAGTTTGTTATTTGTTTAGTTATTTTATAGTTGTTTTTATAGTTTGTTATTTGTAGTTTAATAAACACATACATAAGCACTATCTTAAACTGGATGTATACAATATAAGAACACTTCAAAACTATAATCCAATTAAAAAAACAAAAACATTTATTGAAAATCAAACATTTTCAACCTTTAGAGGAACGGCAACGGCTATCGACAGCAGGGACATGGCTCCTATGTCACATTCCTGGAGGGCAGTATTCGAATGTGCTTAACGACTATGTTGAGTTTTATAAGCACTTTTGTCATAGTACATTTATTGTTTTTTTTTACTTTTTTGTTATTTACAGTTATTTAAATTTTTTGTATATGTTATTTTTCTTCTGTACTTATTTTAATTTAAATATATTACTACACTCCTGCACATGAAAACTTCTTACTCAATGAACATTTTTAAATTTATCTTGTTGTTCAATTTTGTGTTCTACCAGTAGAACCTGAGAATGGTCTTTAAAAATAAACATTTTCAATCTTTATAAAGGTTGAAAATGTTTATTTTTCAATAAATGTTTTTGTTCTTTTAACTTGATTATCGTTTTAAAGTGTTCTTATATTAATAAACGCGTATTTCAATATACTATTATAGTGTACTAAACAAATTTGGTTTTAACTTTTTGTTTTATATAAACAACAGGAAAGTCAACTATGGTTTATCATATTTTGTAAGAAAATAAAAACATAAAATGAATGAAAATTGTTTGTATGATTATACATATTCTCATAATATATATATTATAGTAATAATAAATTCAAAATTGAATTACAGATAAGCATTAAATCTCATAAAATTTTCAAATTTTGTTAGTAGATTTAAAGGAAAGTGAACTGAATAAGAAATAAATTAAATTTTTAACTACTATATTCTTTTAAAGTTATTTCAGTGTTTAATATTTTTATTTTTATTATTTTAATATAGGCATAGATTTGGAAAGAATTGGACATCAGGCAGAATCAATATTTGGTGGAACGTAAGTAGTTACTTCATTAATGGAAATGGAATATAAGAAAATTACACAATTAATTTGAAAAGAATATTTTTTCAAGATGATAGTTCCAATAAATAAATTATTAACACAATAATTTTGAATTAAATGAGAAAATTTTTGAATATTTAATTAGCTATTCCATAAAATTAACCCTGCGTAAGTCGCTAGGAATTGGGCCCTTACTTGAGTCACATGGGTCTTACAGACCCAGTGTTTTTAATATGAAATAATTCAATTTTATCTATCGTGTAAAGAAACTACAGTTTCTTAGTTGGATTCTGCGCTTTTTTTCTATCTAGTGATATAAATTACTTGCGTATTGACAAAATGAATTTTTTAATATTTATTTTTATGTAATTCGATACGAAAAACGCAAAAAAATTAACATATCAAATTTCAACTCGTTGTAATTTATCTCCTGTTTTACCGATTGCCATCGGTTTGTTTGTAAGTGGGGAAGAAATATGACACTTTCAAGCGAAGTGAGTAGAACTTTTGCACTACTGCGAGAAAATTTGTCAACCGACCCCGTGTTACCCCCTACCGCAAAAGTCAATAAACGTTAATTGTTTTATGACTCTATTTTCAACACTTCTTTTCTGAGTTGTAAATCGACTAATTGACAAAGATTTTACTTCATTTTACTCATAAGAATGTTGTCTTTATGATTTAATAGATAGTTTCGTATGATTTTTAGACATAAATTTTATTTTTAATTTTTTATCTGATATAGTCGTGTGTTAGGCTTAACTCGATCACCTATTTTCAAAAATTGACATCGTTCAAAATATTATAGAATCCATCAAAATTATTTGCTTATAGTTTAGTTATAAATGTTTTCTGTGCATGAAAAGAAGCGATCGAAAAAATAATGGGTGGACCATCAAAAATTCGGCAATTTACGACATGCTCT